TATATGACATTGGTTAGTTTAAAAATCAACTAACCAACGTTAAACAAAACAAACTAGAGAGAGTATGTAGTTAAAAATACTTAAATTTTAGAACAAGCAAACAAAACAAAGTATATAGTTAGAAATATTTATATTTAAAACGAAAGAGTATGTAATAAGGATCATATTAGAGACAGGCCCCAGCTCCTAGTGAATGCCTCGAGCTAGCAGTACGGTATCTTTTTTTTAATATACGATGTTGTTGACTTTAAATAAACGTTTAATTGTTCGTTTTATTATACAATAAGTTTATATAAATATGAAAAAATTTAAGTCACGTTTAAAGAACACTTACGATAAATCAACAACAAAATAAATAATAATTATATAATTATTTTAAATAAAAAAAGGTTAAATATATCTAAAAAATCAACCGCGTTATATGTTAAAAAAAAAAGAGGGAGTACACAGCTCGATAAAGTAGCTGGCTGAAGTAATGTGGCTGGGCCTGAGACTGAGAGCCACGCATAGCTTGTGCCATCTCCTGCTGAATCCATCCATGCATTCATTCATCGGCGAGCCATGCGTGTGTGCATCCGTGCATTGCATGAATGCATGCACCTGGCTAATTGAGCTGCTGGTTGAGTTGATTTCAAGCAATCATAAGCTAGGCGTTGGTTAGTTCCCAAACAACAACTTTTTACCATGTTATATGGACACATGCATAAAGTATTAAATATAGACGATAAAATACTAATTATACAGATTACATGTAAATTGCGAGACGAATCTTTTATACCTAATTGCTTCATAATTTGATAATGTGATGCTATAGTAAATATTTGTCAATGACAGATTAATTAGGCTTAATAAATTCGTATCACAATTTACACGTGAAATCAAACTTTTCATCTCGCGAACTAAAGAGGAGCCTAAGTTCAGGGTTCCATCCTGTACTACTGACACATTTCGACTGTATGGGGGCGTGAGCTCATAGTAATGCCTACGCGTTTTTTTAGTTGTCTCCATTTTTTCCACATTGAGGGTGTGAGTTCCTGAAAAAAAATTGAAAGTTTAAAGAAAGTTGAAAGTTTAGAAAAAAAGTTGAAAATTTATGTGTGTAAAAAAGTTTTGATGTGATATGATATGATGAAAAGTTGGGAATATGGGGGAAACTAAACACGGCCTGAGCTAGGAGAGTTTACCACTCACCTCCATAGTTTTCGCGTGTACGCTTTTAAAATTATTAAATGGTACATATATATATATATATATATATATATATATATATATATATATATATATATATATGAAAGTTATTTGATAAAATTATATTAATCTATTTTTAAGTTAATTTTACTAATATTAATTAATTTTTCATTAATAAACCACCATGTTTTTCATACATGGAGATGGAGTTCCAAACTCCACCTCCTAAACACAGCTGAAATCTCTAGCAATTCTAAGGCAAATTACCATTCCCATCATTTTTAAATATAGGAGGTCATTAATTTTTACTTGTATTTTACCATTTATTTTATTAAGAAAAATATTGCGGATAAGTAAAATAATAAGCTATGCTTAGAGTACCTATAATAATAAAAAAAATCACAACAAAATAAGTGATACTTATATAGTTTATTTTTTAATAAGATAAACATTTGTATGACAAATTCTAAACGCTAGAAATCTAAGTTTCGAGGGACAGAATTAGTATCATTACTTTTCACTTTCGGGGCATCGTACCCAATCTATGTAGGGGCTAATTGTGTGTGTGTGTATTGACGGAATTATTATTTTTTTGACGGAATGTAATGGTATATATATTGTAAACTGATCTTTATAGTTGATTTATTTGTAGAAGTAAGCCGTCATCGATGGCATATCGTAATGCTTCTCTTAGTATTATAATAAGAGTAAATTTCAGACCAAATTATTATAGATTTAAGATGAACTATCACAATGATTTTAGATGGTGCATTACAAAACTAGAGATTTATTAATACCAAATTTAGCATACAACTACATGTATTTTTTGTGATAGAGTCCTAGCCTTAGATCTACAGTATTTAGTGCTAAAACTACAGTAATAGTTTGGTCAAAGTATTTACAGTTTTATAAAATTTACTTAGAATAATATAGCGAGACTTGAACTCATAATCTTGTCAGATGGTACTAATATTGAAGCATATGCTATTAGCAATTACCCCCTCTAGTAAATAACGTCAAATAAATTTGACTGGAGGGATTATAACTGCATATATGTTGCTGTTACTCCACAGTTGCCAGAACAAATGTGCTGATGCAAACATTACGAAACATGATATCAGAACATACATGTTCATTCGTTAAGCTCGTTTTAATTAGATCAGGAAGCTTCCCAGATCCTGCACGAAAGGAGGGCTCGAGATTAGGATATAATGGACACAATGAGAGCCCCATCACACTCTCGATCAATTAACTGGACTAACAGAGACATGGGGAGACACAAAGATTAGCTCTTACTTAATTTAAGGATATATGCTACAAAACAACAAAGCTAAAGTATATAATCAGCCAAAGAGCTTTCTGTCCAGTTGTCTGATTCAGTCCAGGATTTGGGTTGACCTAGTGCATGTGCTGCCAACATTTCCTCTCTGTGACCATGACACTGCTTCCTAATTTCTTTTTCTTTTTTTTCTTTTTTGGCCTTGATGTATATGGCACAGTGGTTTGGCCTGGCTAGCTATACCATCAACCGGACTTCGTGTGATCCTACAAATAATATCATAGGTTTAGGTCTCACTGGACTGTCGATCCGAGCACATAATTATTATGTACTTGACCAACTTAACGTAAAAGACTAGTTCGATGGATGAGAAATCACGGTTAATCTGAATGCCAATTTATCTGTCTAGCAGTCAAGGCCTATGCATAGCATATGAATAAAATATGCGGTACTGTTAGGTATTTTTACGTCGGTGTAACTAAGCTTCAGAAAGTTAAAAGATTGCCTCTGTTGTGCATATCCTTTATTGATCTCTGCAAAGTATGATACAACTGTAAGTAAAAAACACTCCCGAGCTATGCTATGCATATACATTTTGGGAGGAGAAAAGAGCATCCTGAGCATAACTGAACTTCATTTACTGAGGCTGTGTTTAGTTCCTTTCAAAGTTGGAAGTTTGGGTTAAAATTGGTATGATGTGACTGAAAAGTTGTGTGTATATGGCAGGTTGATGTGATGGAAAAAGTTGTAAGTTTGGATCCAAAGTTTAGATCTAAACGCAGCCTGAATGGTGAATTGATGCCTCATGAGAACCCAACCCAGGATGGTCCATGGTGAATTTTATTTGGCAGATGCAGTAAATATGATTTGTCACATTCCATCTAGGACAGATTGTTTTTTTTACCCAGACTGAACCTGGATGAATGCTAGTAATGTGGAGACTGGAGACAGAGAGAGGAGCAGTACAGCATGCATGCATGGAAGCTAGGAATGGGAGGGCACAGGAGATGATCAGAACATATATATTCAATAGGATCTCAGTAGTAACAATGGCACACAGCTGAGCAAGAACAGGCTACAGGAAGTTGTACGATGGCAAACTTCAATATGGTTTCTATCTATCCATTGGCCCATCATCATGCATGCTTCTGTGTTTGAAATGATTCGAGTCTTTTTTATTGTCCACACTATCTGATAGCTAGCTATGGTGAGTATGGTCCATGGTTCATCAAATTTCTGAACATTTATAGTGCTCAGTTTTTGCAGAATGTAGGGTCAGGTTTATAGCACAATGAATGAACAGAGACAAGAAAGGATCTAGAAATTCACCCAATCAGTGGTAAAGAAGAAAATATAACACAATTTATTTGCATTAGGAGAACATGCTTGCTGTTGGTAAGAAATAATAAGAACAAAAGGTATTAACAAAATACACGATTTACATTTTTTTCCAATCTATCAGGCTGGTGTCCAAACATACTTCGTCATCTTTAAAGGCATTGCAAAGATTCACTGAAGTTTGGATTTCAGTTTGATTTAAAGTAATAAGCCGACAATGATGCATTTAATCCTCTCATCATACGTTAATTCAGGACTTTCGCTATATAAAAATACAGAATAATGTATAACCATGCCTCCAGAAAATCCCAAGAATGTGAACATGGACACAGACAGTCACGCTTAGTATTAAGTGCGAGTTAGCTTATCTATGTTAGAAATGTAGACAGTGAATAGTGAATAGCTGTCATTTATCATTGATCTCAAGGTCCCTTTATATATTAGGGAGAGTACAAGCCTAGGATTCTAGGCATTAGTGTAATACATCAATTCTCATTCTAAATGTAGCAAATAATGTTCATTCATTTTCTTGTAATAAGGTGGTTTGATTGCTTTAAACATAGTTGTTACAAAGAATTCAAAACCACCATGATGGCTGCATTGACAAGGTCAAATAATGCCTTCTGTTACAATCTACACTCTTTACCCCAAAATATAAGAATCTAGTAGTGGATGGGACACATCCTAGTACTACGAATTTGAACTGAGGGCTATGTCCCATCCAGTACTAGATTCTTATATTTTGGGACGGGAGGAGTATTATTTGATGATTTTTTTTAAGTGTGTGCATCCCCTAAACTCTCTGAAAAACAGGGGATGTGGATAAGGGAAGAATAGCAGAGGAACCTAGATTGTGCAAACCACTTGACATATTTAAGGAAACTAAAATGATAAAGAAAACAAAATATGGAGTTAAAATGTGGAAATAAGCAAATGGTGATGATGTCAGAAAGGCAGAATACAGGCCCAAACACAGGAAAGAACAGAACATTTGGGCTGGCATCAAAGAGGTTCAGACTTCAGATTTCAGAGGTTGTATGGTCTCACTCATCTAGGTAATCAGCCCATATGAGCATTGAAACAAAACAAGCCCATTGTATGTTTTTTTTTCTAGCTCTATTGAATAAGGTGTAGAAAGAACTTGTTCTTTAGGATTGGGTCAAAGTTTGCTGTTTGCATGATTAAGTTCCACTGATGTACAGTACAATTTCACTATTTTCTTTGATTAAAAATGAACAATGTGTCTGATCAAAACAAAGTACCTTAATGAACTTTCTCATTGTTCACAAGGATTTCTCTCCAAGTTCTTAGAAACCAGCCTATTTGCAGCATGAGTACAGTTACAAGCTCAGACTACATACGAGAACTACATCAAAGTTTTTCTACGTACAGTATTACATCCACTTTGTTGATTCCCATCACATGTTCTATGTTACCAACTTACCATCTGCTTTCCTCATTTGCTTCCCATCCATTTTTACTCCAAATATCTGAAAACTGATCAAGTTATTAGTGCGTGTTCTGCATGTTGGATGTGGCACTTTTTTTTCGTAGATAATTGCGTTTGAACAGCCTACCATTCTAAATGTGCAGTGGTAAATATTTATACCCTTTTTGAAGGAAGAATATATACACCTTCAGATGTTTCATGAGGGATTATGGAAAATATATCTTACACTGTACTTAAAACAGAGACAAACATAACATGAAATACAAAGGTATGTAGAAATAAAATCTAGACTTACATGAGTGATGTACATGGACAACATTCTACACCAAAGAAGAAGCATCCTTATGAGCTGAAAGCTCTTGAGATTGCATATATGAAGTCCAATAAACCAGTCCCCTTGAGAAGGCCTTTCCCAGTTAAAAGTTCAAAGTCTATTAACAAGAGAAAGCCAATTATAGCGGCTTTCCCATTAATTAGTTCATTCTTATTAGTGAAACCAAAACCTCCGACATCCTCATCAATCACCATTCTCACCTGAAAAATGTAAAACAGAGGATTATATTCTGGTAAATAGCTCAGTGATTTTTTTTTGGTAGAGTGATATACAGACCAGATTTCTATCTGAAAAAAAGCTCTGTGAAATTTTGCAGACAATGGAGTATACTGAAGTTGGATTCATCTGAGTTTCAGAGGAAGGACCAAAGCAAAGCATAGATATGATCTACAGTTTCAGAGAAAAAGTAAGGAAGAAAGGAGTGAAACCTCTTCGATATTGACATCGGATGCAGTAAATCCAGGTTGTGCTTTCCCACTGAATATAATCTCTGCGGATCCACCGGAGGTAACAGCCCCCTTGATACTGATGTATATATTCTCCCCATCGATTTTCACAGGGTACACGAATAGTTTTCTCAATGCAGGTGTAAGAGCCCTTAAAACAGGGTTGTTGGGATACCATTCCTTTATTTCACCAGTACGAAGATCAAATGTACTATCTGTTGTTGGGCAAACAATGCAGCCGTCCTGAAAGACAAACAATATAAAGGTTACATCTTTGAGAAAGGAACTGGAATGATCTCATTTTCAAGCAAGTGATGTCCAACGAAGTCAAATGAAAAGAAGTGAACACTTACTCTTGTCAACAAATTTGAAATACGAAAATATTGTGAAAGATTAATAATCTTCAAGTGATAGAGATTAGTTTCCAAGTTCATATGGTCAAAAGAAGGCTAACTCACAGTGTTTCAGATTTGTAAGAGAACTTTGCAAAACTAGTATAACTTCATACTAACTCCACTAGTAAACGAAATGATTACGAACATAGCTATTTTCCTAAGATCACATTCATGCACACGCTTAATTTTCATCTTGTACAAACAAAACAAACATAAATTTAAACAACAATTTTAACTGTTCAAATTTATAGCCCAAGGCCTCAGCAAGGGAAGTGCAGCACACTTGACAAATTGGGTATTTCATTCCTAGCATTCCTACAGAACCTCAAAATTGTTGCATCATCTATTGCTCCTGGTTGTCACACGTGATCCATATCATGTTTCGATATTTTTTTAATAAAAGGGTGCTAATGAACATATGACAGAAAGCCAGATAACTAAGCAAAAGAAAAAGGATGTACAAATTAAAAGTTCGTTTCAAAAGAATCCATGTACGTTCTCTCGGCTAACTAGACAATATCTATATCTAAAGAAAAAAGCTCACTAGACAATACCTCCCCAAGTAAATTGATTTTGTCGCTACTCCAAACAATTCATATTCTTGACACCCTAACAAGAACAAGGTCCTCAGCCATTTTTATTGCATATAGCATTAGGGTTCTCCATCTCCGGGGGTCCAGGGGAATTAGGTGTTAACTTGGGGTTGCGCTATATCTATCGAAAAGTATACAGCAAAGATACATTTGGTGAATCAAATCCATGTTTTAATAAGAATCATGTGAACTTAACGTTCTGGCCACACGCAAAAGAAGTCGGTGGAACGTACGGAATTTCCAATTTTATTTTTCTATGATATGTTTTTCCATATGAAAATTGACGCTACTTACAGGCATCCCATGACATTGCTACGTATCTATACTTTCTATATAGTTGGTACCCACTAACAATTATTAGAAGCTAAAGCTCAACATGCAAGCATGCCATGTCATCACCCACTAGCAATTACTATTCTAGCCCATTTAAAAACCCATGCAAGCATGCCACATCTTCACTCACTAGCAATTACTACTATTCTAGCCTATTTTAAATCCCATGCAAGCATAACGCATCATCTATAATATTATATTATAGAGATCGACAAGTATATGTTGAATCATCTTCCTCACATTATTTTCTCAACATTTCAACTTTCATCATTTCGACAATATTTAACATATACTCATACATGAATCCCGCAGCAAAGCGCGGAGTACCACCTAGTATCAATACATTGATCACCATCCCTTTGACATGAAGAAATTTAATCCATTACATACGAGAACTGTAGTTAAAAAAAATTACTTACGTGAGCTACAATATGTCTATGTTTGTGCCAATTATGCTCAATTGGATTGTTCATATTATGTCAGAATATACCAAAAAAAATGCCTCTATATGTGATTGGTGAGATCAAAATCTATCAACTTCTGGCTTTCGCGGATCAGAAAAATTGGGAATAGGAAATTAGTCTACAAGACATTACACAAGATAAGTTGGAGTAGTAGTAGTAGTAGTAGTAGGGAGTATACTATGTTGTATGAATAGTAGCGCAATTGGGAGGAAGGAGGAGGAGGACCTGGGTGAGCTTGGCGTTGAGGAGGCCCTCGGTGTAGGCGCCCTCGGCGGGGGATCGATTCTCGACGGCGTACACCTGCTCCTTGTACCACAGCAGCAGGATCTCCTCCCCGTCCTGCACGATCACCCGCCGCTCCCCACGCGGCAGCGCCGCCAGCGGCACCACCGGCACCCAGTTCCCATCCCCGCTCGCCTCCCCCGCCGCCGCCGACGGCTCCGCCCCCGACACCTCCGCCGCGCGGCAACCGACGACCCTCTGGTGGTGCCGCAGGGTGGCTGTGGCTGTGGCGCGCGGGGGCGGCGAGGCGGACGCGGCGACGCGGCGGCGGTGGAGGAAGGAGGAGGCGGCTGCGGCTGCGGCGGTGGTGGTGATGGACGCCATGTGGAGAGGATGCGGAGATGGCGCGTGGTGGGGTTAGGGTTTGAGGGGGAGGAGGAGGAGGGGGAGGGGGTGGTGGAGTGGAGTGGCGCGGCCATGGCCACAGGATGGGGATAAAAGGGGAGGAGGATTTGTATTTTGTGGGGAAGAGAAGAGGACACATTTATACGCTGCTGTCCACGCGAAAACGCGCGCTCCCTCCCACGTTCAAATTCAACGCGGGAGGCGACGTGGCGAGACGAGAAGCTGGCCATGGATTCTCCTCTCTGCTCTGCAGCACTCGTGTGGAGATGATTTTCTGCTGGAATTTCCTCAGCCGCGAGAGATGTCTGCGATCCTCTCTGTGGGTGGGTGGCCGCTGAGGTGTTTTGCCTTGGAGCCGGAGGCCGTGGGCACAAGGTGTTTGAGGAAATGCCTGAGAGGGATGGATGGTATGGATGAATGAATGGCATCGCCATCTCAGCCATTCAGCCGAGCCCCACCCATCCTGGTGCCTCTGCAATGGCCGTGAAGGAATAAATTAGTCAGATTTTAGACGTGTTTGTCCCTTCGGCTGCAGCTTGGCAAAACAGGACAGGTTTGGCGTGTCCATTGACCATTGTTCAGGTGTTCTGTGCACGTCGCAGTGTTGGAGATGGAGGTGTGATGCCGGATTGCCAATGGGGTTGGGTTGGTCTGAATGAACCTTTGAGCTGCGTCGCAAATGTGCTACAGTTTTATGCACGCGAGTGGCAGCATCCTTTCCTTGGTTGCTGTCAGAGCCTCAGAGGAGTTTATCTGAATAATCTTCAATGGATCAGCGTGGCCTGGTGGTTGAGGATATGACTACAAAGCCCAGTGCATCACCATTCCTCAGAGTTGTCAGCGCGATTATGTGGAGAAACCATAGTGAGTCCTCGGTAATCTTCTGTAATTTCTGTCAATACTCCTTCCATGATTTGCTTATTCAACCACTGCATCTATCCATTTATGAAAATGGGGAGAGTTTTGTTCAAAACGAAAAAGGAAACTGAGCAAAGAAAAAAAAACCCACACTGGTTAACTTTAGCTCTCGAGAAATCCTCTCCTCCACTCATTTTCTCTACTACATTTTGCAAAGTATCTTTAAGATTTTTGCCTGCCCTTCTATAGTTCAGTTAGAGTGGGGATAGGAAAAGGAAAGGAAAGAGAAAGAAGTCCTGAGAAATGCATTGCAAAAAGCAGCCCCTTGTTTTAGGATTCCATATTCATTTCTCATAGTTATCCCCGCCTTTCTCTCCTCCATTGGAGGATTAGAACGGAGAGAGAGGAAGGTGGGGAAAATTGTTAGATTTGTTCATCCATTATATTTTCTTGAAAGGAAAAGGAAGGCGAAGGAATTCAGGTCTTGATAATTGTTCTTGATGTGCATCCCCAAAAGTACATTCTTTTATCACTAGTTGTCAAATGAATTATAGCTTTTTCCACTATTTTGTGTAGGATACTGTTTTTGTTGGTGTCTGTTGTGCTGTATCATTTTTCCGAGCAGATCTCACACCAAACATTTTTGTACTGAAATTGCTTACAATTATTTTGCTTCAAAATTTCAACGGAAAGATTAGTGTAAAATATCATGTTTTATTGATGTCAAGAAAAAAATTTGCCTCAATTTTCAAGAACCTTTTAGATTCGGAAATGCACAGATATGGTTTTGCATGGTTGGTGGGATGGATGGAAATTGCATTCAACCTATGGTCAGTTGGTCACATTTTTTTTCTGTAGATCTTTTTCTTTATAGTTTTTCTGGAACCAACTTCTGTCACTAATTTTTTTCTACTTTCATGTTTATCTAAATAATGATGATTGATGACAATTGTTTTGCTCTAAAATTTTGGGGAAATGTTCGTACAGGTATTTGCATCACATCACAATCTGCAAAGCAGGAATACCTGAAACTCTCATCCAGAGTTGACGAAATCATGTCAACTTAGAATGATATCAAGGCTCTTGTTACATTCAGAAGATCAGGGCTTCAGGCCCTGCTTGTTTGTTGCTGGATGAAGACATTCACCAGGAAACCACTGCAAAGTGCAGTGCACGTACAATTCCTTCGATCAAGTGGAAGGGCATTTCATGGGCTTATAGATCAACTTTGTTCCAAATGTCCTAAACATGATGATGGTGCCACTTTGCAAAGTGAAACCACTTCAAGCAAGTTCATGTGTTTATACAAGTTCTTCAGGACATCAAGTGAAGGTGACACTGCAGCTGTAGACAATGTATTGCGCAATGATGGAAATACAGAAGTTGTCGCTATCCAGTCGAAAGAAAATGGTCGCAATTCTAATAACATATTGGAGGATGGAGAGAAGTCAGTTCTGTCGTCGGATCATTCTAAAAAATTGAGTGCACATCATCGACTGAAAATCTGGATTACTAGTGGACACAGTGGCATAATCGGAAGATACGGAAAGAAGTTGGAGCTAAATGCTGCCAATGTGCCTAAGCAGTTCCCAAGTGAACATGTGAATACTGTATGGCCAGATTGGCTCATGAAGGTGGCCCCTGAGGCAGTGCAAGGCTGGTTCCCTCGTCGTGCAGAATCATTTGAGAAATTAGGCAAGGTGTGTAGTCAAGTTGATGATACAATACAAGTTACTCATTGGAAAATTTTGATATTTGTGCTTGTTAATGCTAATTTCTTTAACCATCCCTAATTACTATTGTATCACTTCTTTTCTATTTCAGATTGGAGAAGGAACTTATAGTAGTGTGTACAAAGCTCGAGATCTTAAAACAGGCAAGATTGTTGCTCTCAAGAAGGTGCGGTTTGTCAATTTGGATCCTGAAAGTGTGCGCTTTATGGCAAGAGAAATACTTGTTCTTCGGAAACTGAATCATCCGAATGTCATAAAGTTGGAAGGGATCATAGCATCTCCTGTTTCAACAAGTTTGTATCTTGTATTTGAATACATGGAACATGACCTTACTGGTCTTGCTGCAACTCCAGGCCTCAAGTTCACTGAACCACAGGTGATTGTGATACTAGTTTTTCAGTTAACCACTTGGCAGACAAGAATTTTAACTGTTCCCCTTTCTCATTAATTTCAGGTAAAGTGCTTGATGCAACAATTGCTTAGTGGCCTTGATCACTGCCACAGCAATGGAGTTCTTCATCGAGACTTGAAGGGTTCCAACCTCTTGATTGACAGCAATGGTGTCTTGAAGATTGCAGACTTTGGTCTAGCAACATTTTATGATCCTAACAATCAGCAACCACTCACAAGCCGTGTTGCAACATTGTGGTACAGGCCACCGGAACTTCTGCTTGGTGCCACTAAGTATGGAGTTTCTGTGGATATGTGGAGTACTGGGTGCATTCTGGCAGAATTGCTTGCTAGCAAGCCAATCATGCCAGGAAGAACTGAGGTATACATACAACTATTAGTCTATTACATTTAGTATAGTACCTTATGTCATTTTATATCATGGTGTTCTCCAACAATGCATTCCTAGGTAGAGCAAATTCACAAGATCTTCAAGCTCTGTGGATCACCCTCTGATGAGTACTGGCAGAAACTGAACGTGCCCCAGACAGGGATGTTCAAGCCCTCTCGCCAGTATAGGCGGTGTATTGCAGATAATTTCAAACATTTCCCTCAGCCAGCTATAGTTCTTCTAGATAATTTGCTTGCATTAGAACCAGAAGCTCGTGGAACAGCTGCCTCGACTCTCCAGAGTGACGTAAGTTAGTACCCTCAAATTGATTATTGGTTGCAGTGCAGTGTTCTGTAATTTACTACGGTACAACACGAAGTTTTTGGCTACCCCAGGAAAGACTTGTCCTTTTTTTATGAAAATATTATTGGGGGTTAATCAAGGCACATTTCTTGAGTTGGAATTTGTCATGGCCTAAGAAATCAGCCTTACGTGGCCTTGCTGGCCCAGTACATAAAGGCAGAACAAGGCAGGCATCCAACAGGTCTACAACAGATTGATTCCTAACTGTTGTTTAGTTTGTTTTGGTCTTAAGCCACTTATATATAAGAATTCGATTTCATTAGCGAGTGGTTTTGAAGGCCGGCTGCATACCTTCACAAGGTGTACAGCATACACGCAGCCTTCTTCCCGGCTGTTTTAACTTGATCTAATGATCATTACAAAATGATTTTCCATTTTTGGAATACCTAAAACGATGCATAGATCTAGTCAGAAGTAACAAAATGATGTCAATTGAAGGCATATTTTCTATATTTTAGGTTGAATTCTGTGTGTACTGGATTGACAACTTGTTGTGGAAACCAGACATTTTTCAAAGTTGATTTGGTATCTAGCTTGTTAGAGGAAATATTGTACTGACCGCCTAGTACCAGCAAACTAGTGCCTGCAAAAATGCTAAACTGGTCCAGAAGTAGTTTTCCCCAGTATCATGCCAATACAACTCACATGGTTCAACAAGTTATTATGTCTTGGTCTACCGCGATTTCATTATATGTCTGGTTTTTCATAGCCTTCTTTTAGGAGAACATTGCATCGCAGCACTTAACCATGTATCACAAACTTTAGTTTTTCAGAAGAAAGCCACTTGCTTGCAGCCCTTCAAGCTTACCAAAGTTTCCACCGAGCAAAGAATACGATGCAAGACTCAAGCTAGAGGAAGCTAGGAGGTATGTGTTTCCCAACCTTTTATTCTTCAAGGAGGATGTAATTGAGAAGAACTATTAGTGGATTCTGAAATTCTGTCACGTTTCTGTAGGCAAAGAAAGGTTGGAGGATCTGTTAGACCTGGAAGAGAGAACGTTAGAATAAATCGTGGTAATGGCTCTATCCAACCAAAGGTGAGTACAAAGATGTGCTCCTTCTTTTCCTAATTTCCTGTAAATAACTTTTATTCCTTCTTAATACAAAGATGCGCTCCTTGCGTATTCCCAAAAAAAAAAAAAGGTGAGTACAAGAAATTTTTCTTGATGATCATTGTTATATGCAGAAACTTTGATAAGATGTGCTGCTCTCCAATTATACATGCTCATGCTTGATGGAACATCTTCATATATTTGACGCTACTAATCATCTCCTATACATTAGCTCAAAATAAGCACTAGAGGTTAACTCACCAAGCTTTATCATCGTGCAGAAACATACATATATCAGTGGAAATCTCCACCCGCAAGGTGATCCACGGACATTAGCTACAAGGGTGCGATCTCCTGGACTTAACGCCACATGGAACAACAGGGGTGATTCAATGACGGTCGTGAAGTACCTGGATGTAAGTACAACTCTGTGCGGATAGCATATTCCACTATCTTGACGACAAGGAGCTCAGACTTGCTTCAACCTGAACCAACTGATGTAATGAATAAGATGCATGGTTCTCCCAAGAACGACCTGGGAGAGAAGGGCCAGACTGGGGTAAGGATGGTACTTCTGCAAATGTTAATTCTTTTTTAATATAACTTTGGTTGGTCAACAAAAGCATCAGTCTGGTCAGATGAAAAGCACATAAGAATATCAGCTTAAAGGACATCCCTCATGTAAGGTTTAGTGTCATTGCCTGTTTGTTAGTGTTGCTACTGATATATATGTTGTAAGGTATTGTTGCAAGAGTGTTCCACAAGTGAACAAAACTTATAGTTTACAGAAATTTTAAATAAAAGATGGACTGAATGTCTCAAGAGTCATAGTACAATGATTTGATATTCTACTACAATCTTTACTTGCTGACTGTGACATACAGACTATAATTTTCTGCTGAGAGTTGAGATGTTGTGTAATATGTTGTACGGGCATCAATTCGTCGTCTCTGTATACATATTGATTTTGATTTTATGTAACAAATTAAATTGATAATTTGGCTGTTTTGATTTAAAGACCAAACCATTTATCTCTTAACTAACAGTAGTCATTTTTTTTGTTTTGCTTTTATCTCTCCAGAGCTGTAGGGTTAAGAACAGAACGCATCACTCTGGTTCACTGGTTACACCAGAAGGAAACATAGAGGAGATGCTCAAGGAGCATGACAGGAACATCCAAGCAGCCATGCGCAAAGCACGCCTTAACAAGAAGAAATAGTTGTGACATTTAGGTGTGTTCAAGCTAAAGATCCCAACTTTTCCAAGTTCCAGTTGAGGAATGGCAGGGCTGCATTCTTGCACAGAGCACAGAGCTTCTTCAAAAGGGTAATTGCTTTAAAACGTGATGAAGTAGCTGAAAATAACATGATCACTTAAAAGTGCAGATATGTTAAAGTGTCAGGTCATTTGATTGCCGTTTTTTCTACAGATCAAGATCAAACCTGAAATGTCGATACAATACGAGAGTTTGGGCATGGACATTATTTCAAATGACAGGTTGTCCTTTGAACCTGAAATTCTTGACTGATGGCAGTGAGAGATCCAGATCATGCCGGAGCAACTAAGAAGAAATTTCGACAACATTGAGTCATGGATAGGTACATCTTACAGTTACAAAGTATGAGCAGCACTGCGGAAGAGGAGGCCAAACAGAGTGCCAGGGATATCCGAAAGCGTAGACTGGCCTTTATTCTTGCCTGAATTCTTGTTTCACCAAGCTTCTGTGGTCTTTCCCCTTGTTATGGCTGTTCTAACCCATGCCATCTGCATCTGGTGTTGCTAGACGGGCTTGTATAAACTTTTCATCCTCTTATTTCTCTTGTTTTTCTTCTTGCAAGGGTCTTATATAAACTGTGCATTCTTTGTCCAGTTTTTTGGCTGTGTGCATTCTATGCAGAGGCCGGGGGTGGACTCAGTTGGAATGTATCATCTTGGTGTATTTAACTGAGTCTTAATAAAACTTCCATTATCTAAAAAAAATAAACTGTGCATTCTTTACTTTCCTTTTCCTTAATTGAATGGCAGAGTTCCTGCCTACTTTTGTTTGATATAAGAAGGAATTTGTAGTGGGGTTCCTTGAAGCTGGAAACAATGCAGAAAACTGTAACAGCATGTTTTCCTTCATTCTGCCTGGAAACCGGAAGAGAAACTACAATTGGTGTTTGCAGCTCAACCTCAGGAGTTCCTAACATCCTGTTCAAGCAATGGTATGTGATGCTTCTATCTCTAATCTTCAGAAGAAAAAAAAAAAGAAAAGCTGAATTCAGAACTTCCATCTTCACATTGTAAGTACCTTCCTCTAGATCCATTTAGGCTGCTAAAATGCGTAGCCATTTCCAAGGTTCTGAAATTCTATCTTCAAGAAGCTTTTGTTGAGAAAAATGTAGCGATGCAATGTCAAGATCAGTCGTCTTCCCCTGTGACATTTTTTTCCCTGATGAGACAATCACTGGAAGAAACAAAATGTGTTGGTACATCGGAGTCTGCTAGTTGTTGGTTCATGTGGTTCAGATTCTTCCCTTGAATTTCACTCCTCTCCTTTTTAAATTTCTCTACATGTTGGGCATTTTTCTTCTGAAGCAGACCTTTCAGTTCTCAAATCTTTGTATCAGCTTCTGTAGTATTTTGTGATGAGAAAACATTTAATAATGCTTGTGTCTATCGAATTAGGGGATTAATTGTTCGTGTTGCTGCTAGATAAATGCATAATCATAATTTTTTTTTCTTCAAGGGAAAAAGTTGGGAACTCGAAATAATAGGTGAAACAAAATTCACCAGTAGACATAAGCTTCTTTTGTCAATATTCTATATGAAGGGTTTACAAGTTGAATGGGTTCGGAATGCAATCCCTGTCGAATCACCAAAATTCGTGAATTTTGCTCGAGTTTCATCAAACTCTACTGAAGCCTACCGAATCCTACCAATTGGCAAGAAGAGAAGCGCGAGAGCTCATGCTTCCCTTTTTGCCAATTGTTTCCCTTCTCTGGCAGAAGCATTCTCAATCAGCTCCCAATAGTCCTAAAAAAAATCAGCTTCCAATTGTTTGAAATTCGACACATAGTCACTTAAAATGTTACTCCCTCCATTCTTTTAATATATGACATCGTTAGCAATTTGAGATACTTATGATCGTTATATCCAAAAAAATTATGTAATTATTATTGTGACTTGATTTATCATCAAATGTTCTTCAAGCATGACTTCAATATTTTTTATATTTGCACAGAAATTTAAATAAGATAAATAGTCAAACGCTGGTCAAAAAAGTCAATGACGTCATATATTAAAAAAACAAAGATAATATTAGCACATTACTGCTAAAACCAAAATGAATCCTAGATCATAAAAATGTCATTAACTCATAGTTACTTCAAATTCGACAGTGAATTTGAAATTCCGAAATGTTGTCCCCATTTCAAGTTATCAACAAGAGTTGAGATTTGAGAAAAACCATGGCAACAAAAAGGAACACAAAGAAGCAGAAGAAGAAATCTACAAATATATTATTGTTTCCTCTAACATAAATCCTATACAAATATTTAAATATGCATATGCTACTAATATGTGTTTAATTACTGGTAAAATGGTATATATTTACCCAATGATAATAAAATATTTCAAGGGCAAAATGGCATTCCTTCCTTGTGGCTAGGGATGGCGAATCGCCTGAGGTTGCCAACCCCCTCCTTGAGGTAGCCGCCGCACAGGAACGCCGTCGAGAACCTGTCCTGCACCGGCTTGTCCACGTCGTGCACCACCACGTCCGTCTCCGTCTCCGCCGCCGGCCGCCGCGCCCGCGCCGCCACCGCCGCGGTGTATATCGCGCCCATCATCGCCGTCGTCGTCGGCGGCGGCGGCGCGTGCGCGTCGACCACGATCACGTCCCACTCCGCCTCGTAGAACGCCGCGGGGAGGCCGCGCACGGCGAGCTTGCACGGCGAGCGGTCGAAGTGGCCCGGCGAGAGCTGGGTGGCGGCGGCGCCGGTGCAGTGCTCGGAGTCGCGGAGGGCGAGGAGCTCGTCGGCGTCGGCGGCGCTGGCGAGGTAGGCGACGCGGTAGGCCTCGATGGCGAGGCTGGCCGGGCTGGCGCCGGACACCAGCGCGTCGTCCTCCTCGAGGAACACCGTGCGGCCGCCGTGGTTGAGCGCCGCCCAGAGCGCGGCGCCGTGGCCGAGCCCGAACACGAGCAGGTTGCACGGCGCCCGCCGCGACACCGCCCGCGCCGTCGCCGCCACCTCCTCGGCGGACCTCCTCCTCCCCCGCCCCCACGCCGTCGCGTTCGACGTCGCGTAGTGGACCAGCGCCTCCGCCACGCCCGCCGGGACACGGTCACACTGATCGTCCCGCTGCTGCTGCTGCGAGCGGTGGACGACGACGGGCGCCGGCGAGGAGGTGTTGGCGGCGGCGGCGGAGAGGGTGCGGAGGGTGAGGAGGAGGAGGAAGGCGGAGGCGGCGGCGGCGGAGAGGAGGAGGAGGCGGCGCGGCGTGACATGGTGCTTGAGCTTGGCCTTGGCCGACACCAGCTGGCTCTTCAGCTTCGCCCTCCGCGCGTGCATGGGGCTCGCCATTGCACCTCTTCTTCTTGCACTAGCTAAGCTAAGCTAAGTTGCTAGTGTCTCCTTTTCTTTTTCACTTTGCTTTAGATTAGTGGTGTGTTGTTGTGATTATGCAATGATATGATGCATTGCGATTTGTTTGGTTGTTTGCAATTTGTTGGTGTTTTGTACTTTTAGGTTGTGTTGTTGATTGTGTGTTGTGTACTTTTTTGGGGGAGGATGTATTGAATGTGTGTGGTAGGACAGGGATGGGTTGGTAAATCGGTAGGTGATTGATGCTTGAAGGATCAACAAGATGCAGCTATCTAGCCATGCATGTGTGGCAGCTGATTGGTGATGAGTAGTACTACCACAGACCTAAAGTTTGGTGAGTTGTGTGTTTGTTAGATCTCCTGGGGATTTTTTTTATTAGGGTTGATTTGTATATATCAATGGCTAAGATAATCTCTTTCTTTTTGAAAAAAAACATTTGTTAATTAATTGAACGAAAGGTTGTTGAAAAAGCAAGGATCATCTATGAAATAGTTTGCTTTATGTACAGACAGAAATTAAAAAAAGAAGTCCTATGTTTAGAATGAGCCGAAATCAATATTAGAGGGAAGGAATTACTTTGTTTTTGTTGAATAAAGCCCTATCCAAAGCAATTGTTTTGTTTATTTGAGCTCCCACCAGAGTGGAGTGGGGCCGGGACTTGTGAGGACGAGCTCACAGACATTAGATTTTGCACGGGTTGCTGCCTAGCAGGTCCTTCTTTCCCCTCCACCATCGTTTCTCTTCCTCCCCTCTCTCTTAGATCTTATCACACGCAGAACACATCAAAGCCATTAATTCTGTGAGGCACACATGCCTTCTGATGAGGGATGTAGGTCCCGATCTTCCGATAGTTATTGATAAACAGTCGATTTGGGCAGAGTCGCAACACAACTCGATCCGGCTTCTGAATGAACACGCTACTGAGCCCCGCAATCGCAGCACCACGTCTCCTCTGGTTATCAATCGTGCTGAAATCCGGTTGACCTTGCCGAGAAGGCTAATCCCTGTATACTAATCGAAGAACACAAGCAAGAACAAGATAGATTACAACCAAATTGCATATGAATGATTAATCACTTGAATTTGGGGTTCCACAAACCAATCTAGCGGCAAAACTGTTCTTGACTGAATAATATAAGCAAAACCCAACTCTATACGATGATGGCTACTGAATTAATATGATTAGGGACGTCCTAGGGTTGCCCTAGGGCGCACACCCCACTGGGCTAAGCCCACGACACAATTACAGAGCCCAAAACTCAAAATCAGATTCGGACTGGATGAGATACGTGGCTTGTTTTGCAGATTCCCGGTTGCCCTAGGGAGCACACCCCACTGGGCTAAGCCCACGACACAATTACAGAGCCCAAAACTCAAAATCAGATTCGAACTGGATGAGATACGTGGCTTGTTTTGCAGATTCCCGGCAGCTCGGTAGGAATTTTGACGTGGGACCAAAACCATCTGAAAGTAGACTTCATAAGCTTTCCAACAAGTACTCATGGGCCCCAAAATTCCTTCTAGATCAGCGGCTAGGTCCGTTTGAAGTTGATGCTGTCAGGATGCCCGAATCCGAATCCAAAACGTGTAGAACTTTATCTCTTGTCTTCTATGGACCAAAAGTGATGTGGTGAGATAGAAATAGACTTGTAGAAGGTCTTGGTTTGGTCCCCAATCAACTTCTTTAATCATCCATGCATTAGTTACACTCGGTCTCTTTTCCTTCGCCCAAGCAAGTATCTCTGCAAACAAAAACACACCAAACTCATTATGTAGCAACGTTTGTTCAAATATATAACATGCATATGCACCTTTGGTTGATTAATACATAAGATAGTCATGGTTATATCTGAGCTAGTTATGTCCTCATCATCTGTACAGTAGCATACTCTCTCCGTCTAGATTCGTTGTACGAGGTTGTTTTTTTTTGACAGAGGGAGTACACGTACCTACGAAGGCATGGGCTCCCCCAGCCAAGCTAGCAACGAAATTCCGACATAATGGGATGAGGCACTATTCGCCATGTGCTTGTGTTGTTCATGGCGCCTAAGGAATATATATACAATCGAGACCACTGCTTTCCATGGTCTCAACGTGCCACATAGGATAATATCACACACAAAGACCACTTCACCCATAATGCAACTCCCTTCATTCCAAAATAAACTCCCTTCGTTCCAAAATAAACCAATCTTATATTAGGATGATATCCAGATACGTTGTATTATCACGTGTCATATCTTAGTACAAGATTGGTTTATTTTGGGACGAAGGGAGTACACTCCAAAATATTTTTTGCATTTTAGCATTTAGTAATATAAGTGTCAGCCCTTACAATGGTATCTCATTATCAACTTTTATATTTAAGACGTTATAACAATAAAAAAGATACATAGATACCCTAACCAACACATGGACCCATTGTCAGCCTCTCCCACCTCCTTTTTCTCTCCCCTACCGCACTCTCTATACCCATCAGCCACTAGTGCCAAAACCCATCCCATTCTCTCTAACGGAACGACGCCTCCTCTTCCACGGCCGAAGCGCCACCTCTCCCTCCCCCCTCCTTTATCAACGGTGGTAGACGATCCCATGGCAACGACGGATCCCCACGGGGTGAAGCATCTCTATGAGTTTGTTGGCCTCCCCTTCTCCTTCTCCGTGAGTGTCGGTGATGGATCCCCACAGTGACAGCAGATCTAGTCGAGAGCTCCCTTGCCTCTCCCTCTTCCCATCATCTTATCCTCTGGCGACATCGGTGACAGATCTGAATGTGGCCCACGAGCTCGCCAAATCCTTCGAAGAGCTCGTCAGGAGTCCTTGGTGGAGGTGGGGAGTAGCGACTCAACCTCGGCATAGTCCTCAATGGCGGCGATGACCACACCAAGTCTGTTCTTCTTCTTTCCCCCACAGCATGTCGCGAGCCTCCAAACTTCTCAATGTGTGGCCCCGAGCTGTGGCTTCACAGCTCTTGAGCTGGGGCAGCGCCAAGGCCACTAGAACCTCTATAGGTCAAGAGCGGTATCGCGAGACCCCGATCTCCACTAGCACGGGCACTCTCGTCTCCGACGTGAAGGCCCGAGATCACTGTCCACGGTGTTGCGTCAGACATGGCCTAGATGACGTTGGCGACAGCGTTGGCACTCTACACTGACACGATATCCACGTGAACCTCCATGTGTCCGCCAGGTCATCATCATCGCCTCGTAGTTCCCTCAGATCCCCTTCATCACGCGCACAAAGCCGCACAAAGCAACAAAAAAAAGAACAGGAGAGTCCCAAGCGAGAGGAGAGGAGAGGGGAGGCGATGGGGAGCGGGAGCAAGAAGAAGAGCGGAGGAGGGGATGACCAGAGGCCGCTCCTCTGGAGGCTCCCGGAGGTCACCTCCACCGAGCTCGGCAAGATCGGCCCCGCCTTCGGCCTCGGCGTCGGCTGCGGCGTCGGCGCCGGCGTCGGCTTCTTCGGCGGTAACTTCTTCCCCCCTTCTCCTTTGTCCCCAAAAGGTCGAATCTTTCATGTGTTTCGTTGTTCCATCAGCCGATATTCTTGGCTCGTGTGCTGGGTAGATATCTAGATGAGGTTGGGATAGCTCGGGGATTTAAAGGAGGTTTTTTTTTTTTGGGAGGGAATGGGATAGGGTTTTTCCTAAACCTCGTCGTGATCGATTCCTGTGGATAGATTGGTTGGAGCTGATCCAAAGAACTGAATTGATCGATGTATTGCTTCGATTGGTACTAATTCTAGCTGATTTCTGCATTGTACAAGTCTCGTCGAGGAAATCCATTCGCATGATAAGGATATCGATTATAGATAATTTTGGTGTTACATACAGAGATCAGCAAGCTTGCCAGTGGGTGTAGTGGTATCATTAGGAGTTTAGGGTTTATCCGAGGTCTGTCTCAACAGCAAAATTTTGCTGCCAAGGAGTCTAATTTCAGAATTGTATCTGTAATGCACTACAATATCATCAGTAAAAAAAAACTTAAATAATATGTTTATAATTTAATATCCTGGATGGCTTGGAATTCTTACTCTTATGCCTAGGAATTGAGAATTTCCAATTGTTGGCTCTAAATTCTTTGAACTGTAAGTTTGATTGTCTGAATAATAGCTTAAATAAAGATCATCATTAGACATTCGTTATTTGCTTGCTGTTAAAACGATATTTAGCATAATGAGATGCACCATTTGCTAACTCTTGGTGCTCATACACAATGCTTTCACTTTCCTTGTATTGAATTTTGAGATAGTCATACTTCTGCTTATAAAAATAACGACAGAATTAGAGCTACATATGACTGGCACCAAATATCTGTGACAACACACACATCTTAAATTGATACTAGATTTTACCAATATTAATGAATCTCAACACGATAGATATTTGTTCAAACACTATCATTCATTCCAATATGGCATAGATAATCATTAATTAAATACTCATCCAGATTACTGCTGGAGTTCAGAATCAGTACTTGCTTAATTTTTCTCTTTTACTAAATTCACAAATTATGTGAGCACACCTCACTCATTCCTTCTTTAATTTTACTGTCTGGTGATATTTTAAACTCACATTATGTCCATGTAACCATGACAATTCAATCCCTTTTTTTCCATGGATGGTGTATAATCATTTCTTTTTATGAATGTTTAGGTGCAGGATTAGGTTATGGATTTCCCGGACTCACATTAGGCTTTGGAGTTGGAGCTGGATGTGGTGTAGGATTTGGCTTTGGTTATGGATTGGGGAAAGGAATTGCTTATGATCAAAACAAAAGATACTCTAATGTTGGCACGATGTTCCAAGAAGCTCCAAGTCTTCCGATGTAAGTATTGCGTGGACATGGAAATATTTGCCAGGATTTGTGCTGATAAATCTGTTGCCTAAAATTGTTGAGAACTGCAGCTACAGCATGAGCCTGAATTCTGCAATAGTATTTTTTTTCCCTGATAATGTTGTGCCCTGTGATTATTTTCTGCATTACCAAAGATTCTAAGATTGAGTTTGAATGAATGATTTTTTGAAGTTGTGATTCAGTAACCATCCACCAGAATAATTCTGTTCAGTTATATATTGTTCCTGTTTCCAATTATATTTCAAATGAGTAATGCATAATGTAATTCCATATTCTGTTAATTATTGTCCTGCATTATGCATGGTGTGTGGATTGAGCAGCAATCTGGAAATATAGCTGTCATGAAATGAGCAGTTTCAACAGTCTGTTCTGTGAATTACTTGTAGATATTGATTATAATTGAGTCATGTGGAGGGACGAATTACATTCAAGGACAGAAGTTGGACTAGATTAATGGTATATTTTGAAGTGAAAAGATTGTTGAAGTTGTCAAAACTGTCTGTCTACTGGATTGTCAGTATGACACTTTGGCTGGGAAAGAAACAGAACCAGAGCATGACTTTTTAGAATGTCATGGAAAAAATGGAACCTAAGTGACAAGTTTATACTGTAGGACTGATTCAAGTCCAAACTTTCATCATTTTGGACAGTAGACAGAATCTGACTTTTAATGAGTTAGCTACACTTCATTCGTCTCAGCTATCCAAAATTCTATATATATCTAAAAGCTTTAAGTTTTGAACACAAAATGAGGTGGAAGTATGAAATGCAAACCCATAGAAAGCCATGGATACTATGTTTGTGCTCAAACACCATGAATTATGTTTTCTCGTATTAATTTTTGCAACAATTCAAACTTGGTGAAACAAAGTTTCAGGGATAAATTGTTCATAAAAGCCCTAACTTGGTGGAAATTGCCTAGAGATATGATTTGACCACCTAGTCCCTCAACTGACCAGTTTTTAGAACCTAGTGCAGATTATTCGGAGACTTGTTCCTTTCAGATGTCAACAACAAAATATCAAGATATTTGAAGTGATAACCAAGTTATCCTACATGAAAATAACAAAAAGAATAACTTTTTTCTGACTCCTAAAGTCCTAACTCACACTACAATTTTTTGTTAGTTACCGTTGTTTTTGAAAGCATTGCATAGTACAGAACACAGCTATTACTGTTCTCAAAATCCTGTTCTCTTCTGGGAAGAAAGATTGCAATTCTTTTCATATAATTACGTGTTATAATGATTAGTTTAGTCACAACTAAGCTGAAGGCTGAAGCAGTCCTCATTCCATAGTTAAATATGTATTTGTTGGAGTACCATTTAGTCTCTTATTATTCTACTGATGAAAGCAGTGGAATGAAATACACTATATTTTGATGTTCTCCGCAAAACCTTTGACATCTGGGCAGTACTCTACTATTGTGTCCTTAATTTCGGATGATTATTTTCTGCTGATAATAAAAACGCTAATTCTTTCCACCAGTTTTTTTGCCATGGTTGTTAGACATACTGTTCAGCTGGCGCTTATTGTTTTCTGGACCTCGATTTTTGTTAAGCATACATGGATCAAGCTAAATTTGGACTGTGCAACAAGGTGTGCCTATTGTTGTGTTGCTCATCCTTTCTTCATTGTCTCTGTTGCAGGGACACCGTTGCTGGTTTGGTTGATGAGCTGGTTGTGAACACCAAAAAGCTTGTGAGAGCAACTTCAAAAGAGATTGAAAAATGGCGTTGAGCTTATAATTGCCTCCATCAGCTGTGTCAGCCTATGAAAACTGGGTTATCATTGAAGGTTATAAGCAAGTATGCTGTTGTCTTAGATGAAGGTTTAGGAGCTAGCCATGGGATGAAGCCTATTGCAAGCAGTATGCTATCTTAGATGGAATTTAGGAGTTAGTCGTGGGATGCAGACTATTGCACTGCAATGTTCTTTCTTATTCTTGTGTACATCAGTAATTATGTCTATATTTAATTAGGGTAATGAAATGCTATTGCAGTCTCTGCATGTTAGAAATCCCCCTGTGATGAACAGTGTCAGTTAGAATTCAGGAACAAAATATGAGACTGGTGATCTCATTTGGCTGCTTGTTATTACTCTGTTAATGGTTGTGCTCATCTCAGGCTGTGCTTTCTTGGATGAATTGATTCTGTGGAATTTTGATGGCATTAGGACATTGATATACCTTGATAATATCAGTTAATTAAATGTACATTAGTGTTCAAGCATATGTGTGGCCAGGATGTGTTGTCTTGGCTATATCTGCCTCTGCCCTCTGGTTGGTTCTGCTTGGTGTCTCTATCCATCTAATGTGGACCATTTTGGTCCTTCATGATGAAACAACACCACAAGAGGCCCTAAGTGGTGCCACATCAGCACCCTCATCTGCCAGGTTAGCATGGACTGCCCAATCAGATCCAAGCAACAGATAGCCCTCCTGGGCACCCAGCCAATGGCAGCTTCCATGGCTAAATCTTGCATGGGCCCACAACATCCTCCAAATCCCCATTTCCATCCATTTAAACTAGCTCTCCTTTCTCTCCACAAACGCCCACCACAGTCTCCCCCTTTCTGAACACAGCACCACCCCTTCTGCTGCATCTCCCACCTCCCTCTGAATTGTGGGCCTGAGGCGATGGCGGCGCTCGCCCCGTCCAAGATGCTCGGCACCCGGCTCAACTTCGCCGGCTCCTCCCGCTACGCCACCGCGGCACCGACCACCGGAGCGCAGAAGATCGTCTCCCTCTTCAGCAAGAAGCCCGCCCCGAAGCCCAAGCCCGCCGCCGTCACCTCCTCGAGCCCCGACATCGGCGATGAGCTCGCCAAGTGGTACGGTGAGTGAAATTGCTAAATCTGACGGCTGAAAATTTTGTGTTCCAAGAAATTTTTAAATGTAAAATTCAGAATCTTGTCGGTTTGAAAATTTTGCCTTGTTTTTGTTGTCAGGCCCTGACAGGAGGATCTTCTTGCCGGAGGGTCTCCTGGACCGCTCAGAGGTGCCGGACTACCTCAACGGAGAGGTCCCCGGAGAGTAAGTCACAAGCTCCCATTTTTCGCTGTCTTTTGCTGTAGTTTCAAGAAAAAAGTTTAGATCTTTTTGTGTGGAAAAAATCCAGACCTTTTTGTAGGCAGTACAAGTTGGGAATTTGAAACCAGGTGAAATGCTAGTACAGGTTGTAAACATTGTAGCATCAACTGGGAAATTAGTGGAGAAAATAGAGTACAAATGAAATTAGGACTTCTCATTGGAGAAGGAATAGTTTTGTCCCGAATTGCATTTTGTTTTCATGTTGTATAGGAAAATATTGCTGTTTAGTTTAGCTGTTCCATAAAATCAAAAGAGCACGGACTATCTCTGAAACAAACTAGCATCTGAATTTTCAGGTGCTCAATTCCCCAATCTTAAAGAGCAATTTTCACCTACCAAAAGTTCGATATTGTTCTTCACTTTTAGTTGTACAAGTAGCATGATGTTGCCACTCCACTAATAGCACACCAACATGAACAAAATGCTCATGAAAATGTAGGTTTCTTAATGCAACTAAACTAAATTATCATGCCCTTTGAACTTGCAGCTACGGCTACGACCCTTTTGGCCTCAGCAAGAAGCCAGAGGACTTCTCCAAGTAAGTAGCAGCGTTCAATCCTCAAATTCTTCTTCTTTTCAGACTCAAATTTTCAGATTCTTGTATCTGAGTAAAATCTGACAAAATTTTCACCCTGCAGGTACCAGGCCTATGAGCTGATCCATGCCAGGTGGGCGATGCTCGGCGCCGCTGGGTTCATCATCCCCGAGGCCTGCAACAAGTTTGGCGCAAACTGCGGCCCCGAGGCCGTCTGGTTCAAGGTGCGTGTACTAGCCACTGATCATCGGCAATTCAGCTAATTCGCTGATCACTCAAGCTCAATACCTGAATCTCTGAACTGAAGTGAACTCACTCATGGTATATGCAGACCGGCGCCCTCCTCCTGGACGGCAACACCCTCAACTACTTCGGCAACAGCATCCCCATCAACCTCATCGTCGCCGTCGCCGCCGAGGTCGTCCTCGTCGGCGGCGCCGAGTACTACCGGATCATCAACGGCCTGGTCAGTCAACTGCACAATCTACACGCCCTACTCTTACACCTTTTGGTTTTCGGTAGCACGCTTTCCAATTTATTAAATGCTATATCTCGTACGAAAACTTTGTATATGAAAATTGCTTTAAAATATCCTTTTCCAAATCTAAAATAATTAAAACTTAATTAGTCTTACATTTTTTTTGTTTCCGGTAGCACGCTTTCCAATTTGTTGAATGGTGTATTTCGTACGAGAACTTTTTATATAAAAATTTTAAATCCTCTTTCAAACTTAAAGTAATTAGAACTCAATTAATCAAACGCTAATAGCTTTCTCATTTGAAGTACCCTTAATTTATCTTCGATGAACTCAAACACGGGACCTTAGTTAGTCTACACTTGTTGATTTTGCTCGCTGATACTCACCGGAGATTCGCCGGCGATGGCGATGGTGGTGCAGGATCTGGAGGACAAGCTCCACCCAGGTGGCCCATTCGACCCGCTGGGGCTGGCGAGCGACCCGGACCAGGCGGCGCTGCTGAAGGTGAAGGAGATCAAGAACGGGCGGCTGGCCATGTTCTCCATGCTGGGGTTCTTCATCCAGGCCTACGTCACCGGCGAGGGCCCCGTCGAGAACCTCTCCAAGCACCTCAGCGACCCCTTCGGCAACAACCTGCTCACCGTCATCTCCGGCGCCGCCGAGAGGACGCCCAGCCTGTAAACATCTCGCCGCCGGCGACGCTGGCTGGCCTCAAGTTAATTTTAATCTTACCCGGGAAGAAGAAGGGAGGAGTTTGAGAAGGGTGGAAGAATGTGTTAAATGTACGTGTAAATTATCGTCGAGTTGGGAGATGAATTTGAAAACCTGTTCATTCTGATCTTCTGATAGGAAGGACCAAGTGTTTGGATTTGTGGCTGAGAAATATTTGCTACCTGAGTAAATTGTCTCGAAGTGGTTTTCATCATCGTTGACATTGCTGAATGGTTTCCCTGGATTTTTTTTTTGTTTCAATTTTGACTATTTGCTACTACCTGAGTAAATTGTCTCTAATAATGGTTTCCATGAATTTTGACTAGTGAGTTAAGTCGCCATTTTCTTGAGCAGTTTTCTGGAGGTCAGTCAGCTATAGTGTCGATGGCAACTTAATTTTTTTATATAATTTAACAAACAGTTAAACAGAAGAGAGGAAAACTGTGTTTTGCATACACAACTGTGACACACAAATCAACTCTCAAACAAGTAGACAAACACAGAATTGCAGATTAAGGTTGTAGAAGCTCATAGGCCTAGGCATGTCAACAAATTAGAGGGACATAAAGGTGTTGAAGGCATCAGATCAGAACCGAAAGAGAAGGCCATCGCAGATGGCGAGAGCCGAGAGCCATCTGAGAGAGCGATCCTGCAGACTGCAGTGACTTGGGCTACAGTAGCTCCCTTTAAGCTCAACTCACTCAAATGGGCCAAGCAGTCCAAAAATATCTCATTAATTAGGCCTAGAAAGATTATAAAATATTGTGCTATCCTTGTAACTATCTCTGATCTATCGAGGAATAAGAGTGTAAAACCATTTGTAAATGAACCCCTAAAGCTATAAATAAACACCAAGGCTTTGTAATTAGTAAGTTTTTGAGAATACAATATGAATAGTTTATTTTCCTTACACACATCCTTAGAAGCTTGTAGTTTTGCGAGAAGGCTTACTCTGCGAGATATCGTCATCTCACACACACGAGGCTTTTCTCTCTTCTTATACAACGCTATGGAACTCGGATACTGATCTAAAATAGAAGGGGCGCCTCCGATTACAGACTGAATAATTAGGAATGTGCACACATGGGGTAATAGGATGGATTGTAACCCCTCACGGCTAGGTCTCTCTTGGTTTGTTGGCCAAATTATTAACCAACGGTTATTTTGGCGTTCATTTTTAGGGGAAGGCATGCACACTTAACAACAATAATATTAATGCAAGTTTCCTCTCTCTTTTTATTAGAGATTTAAGTTTCCTCTCTAGACTTTTACCGTCTTTCATTGAAGCACATGGCCGGACTTCTCTGCAGTTAAATGACACACACCCCTCAGTTTCAGTATAAACTGTTCTTTTCTTGAATATTAATTTGAACACAATGACATGCAAAATAACGCAGCCCAGGAGCACACCTATCACGGTTTTTTTTTCCATGTGAAAAACTGTCAACTGGTGGCAGAGAACAAATTAATAGCTAGGGTTAGAAATGTTTGGCATTGGTTAGTTTAATTTTGAGCTAACCAATGTAAAGAAAAATAGAGGGAGTAATATTTTGGTTGATTATTGAGCTAGCAGAGCAAAGAGCAGATTAGCAAGCTGATGAGCCCTTCTGCAGCCATTGTCCAAGAGAAGATAAAGTTTGTGCTATGCTTGGGGCAAACTGGGCACTACAAAGCCTACAAATTAAGCAAGCAAACACGCAAAGCTGCAGATCTACGAATTTTCTTGAGTTTAAGGACATATATACGTCATACATTCATACATATGTAAATGAAATTGCTAAAAGCTGGCGATGCCTTTGGATTTCCCTCCTAACAGATTTTTTAGCCTTTGGATCATTTTGCTTCAAGATTCTTGCAACTGGGATGGGAAAAAATGGTGTGCATGCGAGGACATGGGGAATGGGCCTCCTACCCTCCACTTCACGAGGATGCTTCCTTTCTACTAATTCTAGCATCAGTTATACTGGTTAAGGTAAACTTATGCGTTAGTTGCACTGTAACAACAATACAGTTACAATGTAATATATTGTAGTTATATCGTAGCCTATGTTTTTAACCTAAATGCTTGCAACCGAGTCAGCTTTGTTGTATTGTCCTTTGAGGGTCCATTAGCCACTTTTCATGGCCATTGATGTTGGATTTCATGGCTGAAAAAATCGAATGTTTTTATCCCTGAAACTTTCAAATTTCCTATAGGTAGTTTCTATATAAATGGTTAGATGCGTTGATAGTTGGATGCTAGGCCAGGTCAGCTAACCCCACAACTTTTCAGAAACCCCTTGCAAACCTTCATTTTTGTATGAAAATCTATAAAAACTTAGATAAACGACCTCACTTAAACATAGCGCCACTATATCCATGAAGCTCAATATATTTTCCTCCCTGGCCTTCTTGTTCGCCTACATGGATTGTGAGGAGGCAACCGAGCAATGATTCTAGCTCTAGATCGAATCTCACCACAATAGAGTTGTCTATTGATCGCTATCAATTCGGCACCAAACCATCAAGATCGACGAGCACTCTGTAGACGTGTCCTCTCCCACTCCTGCTATCTTTCTTACAAGTTTGTGACCATGGCTGGTATTTATCTGTAGGGGTAGATATAGGATTGGCCCAAGCCTCAGGCCTCCAATCCTAGGCCTCGGGCCATGGCCTATTAAACGTTTGTCTGCGTTAGTTGCTATTAAACGTTCTAGTCTGTTAGGGTTCACCTTTCCTGTTGGGTGCCAAATCCTGACCCTAGCGATATGACATTTTTTTGGCCATATTTTGACAAATTCGGTCAAATTGTATTGTTTCAAATTTGAATTCGCCGAAACCATTCAAGATTTCACTTGGAATCTACTTTCATCCCACAAAACCTCAGAATTTTGCGATTTGTGACCCATTTTTTTTCGAAAACTCATCCATCTTCTTGGTCGATCTCCGCGTAGAGCCTTAGACAGACAAATATGTGAGCTGTGGATAGATTTGCTTGTCTAGCTCTGTCTGCGAGTTGTGTGCAGTGTGGCTGCTCGTATCGATCGTAGTGGACCACGTACTATACGTACATAAGTTGAATAGGTTTAATTCTCTGAATTTCCATCTCATTCTGGCGCACTCTCTGAATTCTCATTATGTTTTGATCTTCTTCCTTTTGATTTGCTGGTTCTTTATGCCTCAGCTGTTGCTGTGGAACTTCACATGCATTGCATGTTGTACTAGCATGCAAGCATCCTCCATGGATGATGAGCTCCTCAACACAATTGGGGAGCAGCTAATTGTGCTAATCAATGAATTGAATCATGTCCTCTCCTGATAAATAGCTATGGGGCCAACTAGGATATGCCTGAATCTTCAGATATTCAGAGTAGTACTACCAAACAACTGGCCCTTGTCCTTGATAAAACATTCATTTCTTTTATTACAAAATATATTAAATAATCTATTATATTTTCTATCATGCTCTCCTACAGGGGGCCATGGTTTGCTGTCTTCTGTCAGGGAAACCATAGGGGTTCAATGTTCATGTCCTGGAAGCAAGAAACAGCCATGGGGATGAGAACAAGGCAAGCCACAAACAACAAGAGACCAGCTTTCTCCTTTGCAAATCCAATTGATGTGGCCAAGAAAAAATAAAGAAATCATCACCTTCCTTTCTGATCCACCTCACAGTCTTTACATACCAGTACAAGCACCACCCTATAGCCTGCCTGACACTAGCTTGTAGTGTGCCAATAGCATAGCCTGCTCATGTGCACATCACAAACCAAAACCTAATAAATCCAAGAGGTGTACCGGTGTATGTACATGTGTACATATCCAGTGGCACTGTGCAGCGCAAAATGCATGCCAGCACAGCACTCACTACTGGATTTTTTTTTACTATTGGATCCTTATAGAGAACTTATTTTATAAATAGACCTTTTATAAAACTTATAGAAAAATAGACTCATAGCTAATTGTTAACAACTTCAGTGTGGAAGTTGAATGTCTTAGCGCTAATGATCCTAACGCCGAAACTTGGCACGGCGGCACCCATGGCAATGAGGCCAAGCTAGAGGTTGCTGTGGCAAGAGTTTGGCACCAGTTTCTTTTGGCGTTGACTCTTCCCCATCTACAAACGCACTTCTCTATCTCCTGTCCTAACCTTCAATTCAAATCCTATTGAGCTGGTGTCAAATTTTACAAAACAACATATACTGATTTATTTCTCCCAAATTTACTTTTAATTTTGAAACTCAATATGTGGATAAGGGTACGGCCCCCTCCATTTCCTCCTTTAAATTATTTTGATTTGATATCGGATTTCACGCGAAAATTGACACAACAAGGTAATTTGTTTCATTTCCTCCTTTTTAAAACTATTTGGATTAAGACGTGATGATGAGCGGGGAAGATCGATGCTAATGATATAGGCATCAACCTTAGCAAGCGTATGGACCCTTAGTGGCTAGGGAAGCGTGTACGTGCTCGGTACAAAGATCATGTTGATGTTGAGATGTTTAACCTTCGCGCCAAAGACACCAGCACCAAGTTATGAAACCATTTATGCAAATAAGTTTTTTCTGAGACCTATTTATAGAATAAATATTTGAAAAAGGGTGTAGAGTGTAAAAAATCCAGCACTCACTACACGATGGGATCAGATGAGATGAGCAAAAGATGTACTGTTACTGTAGCAACAAGAAAAGCAGCAAAAGGGCAAGGTCATGCAGCTAGTAGTGTGCTTCTCTCTCTCTCTCATCATCCCAAAAGGCAGCAAAGCTAGCTAAGCTCTGTCTGGTTGCACTGACGGATAAGCTTTGCATATGCCTAGCAACTAACAATATCTCTCCTACTACTATGGCTGCATGCTGCTACAGTCCTATGGCCATGGCAGCCTCATCACACACTACTTAACTCTGAAGATTTTTGTCGTGGTTGCTGTCTTTGCTGCCGCGGAGGAAACGTAGTACGCTCTGCTTCACGTGCGCTAGCAGCAGCGTAGTCTTAGCTCCATCTACTGATGACGGTGAATTGGTGAGTGACAGATCGATCAGCGTGCATCGATCCGATTTGACACCGCGCTGCTCGATCTCTGCTAGCTAGCTGCATCTGCTGCTGATGCTGTAGCTGAGACGCATGGATCCGAGCCATGGTTGAATGTTTAGTTGGGGAAAAGAAAATTTTTGGGTGTTACATCGGACGTTTGACCAGATATCGGAAGGAATTTTCGGACATGAATGAGAAAACTA